TGTATGGTCAAGACTCGATTGTTTAAGAAGCCTGAGAATGTCAAGTGGTGCCGGGGCTTTCGGAGTTAGAATATGGCACCAGTTACCTTCAATGTATCTTTGTTTGTTTGTTTGTTGTTTAACGCCGCACTCAGCAATATTCCCAGCTATATGACGGCGGTCTGTACATAATCGAGTCTGGACCAAACAATCCAGTGATTGACATCATGAGCACCGATGCACGCTATTGGGATACGATAACATGTATCAACCAAGTCAGCGAGCCTGACCACCCGACAAGCATAGTCGCCTTTTATAGCAAGCATGGGTTGCTGAAGACCTTTTCTACCCCGGATCTTCACGGGTCTTCAATGTATCTTGTAGTAAGAGGCGAACAAATGGATCGGGTGATCAGATTTGTTGACTTGACTGATTGCATCACATGATACCAAGACGAAGTGGATCGTTGTGCACAATGAATTGTCTGGTCCAGACTCATAAATCTGGAATATTGCTCAGAGCGGCGTTAAACAACAAACAAACAAAGTCTGAACGTATGAATAAATTCTGGAATTTTCGTGATGTTATCGCTCAAGTATATTTTTAGGTTGCAGTATATGCGGTAGGAACTGTTTGTGTCGGAGGGTAAAGTTTACGTACCCTTTGAAGATTTACCATTGTTATACATGATGTTCAAAAGACAATGTAACAGAGCTATCTTTGAACCTTGGCACCAGTCAGTAACAATTATATTTCAAATTGATTCTTATTTCACTGACCACATCTGTGTGATTCCGTTTCTGAAACCAGTTTGTCTTTGATGTGTCTTCTAAAAATAATTATATTAAATAAATTAGGAAGAACAAAATTTGTTCACGGTTGACGGTCGTAGATACAAAAATATCACCACACTATGAGCCACTACAGCCACGTCCATGCACGTGTGTGTGTGTGTGTTTGGTGTGTGTGTGTGTGTGTGTGTGTGTGTGTGTGTTGCTGGCAGGGTATCAACAAGTACGATCTTTTAACGTCTTTTGGTAAGACGCGCCCGAGGATCGACCCAGCGAACGACCTTCCGCTCGGGCAGATGCTCCATCCCCTGAACAGCATTGAATTTGGAACCAAACACTTTCGCGACAAAGCTCCACATTTCATGCTCACTGTGGTCACAAAATTTTTGGAATACACTGAGTCTCTCTTGATCAATTTCTAGCATGGTTTCTACGAAACCTAGGGGGCACAGTCGTCTAAGGCGCCGCGATTCGCTGTGCAGAGTTGCAGAGAAGTAGTTTTCTAGAAATATTATCTTCCGAACTAATGAGGCCGTCAAGTCAGCTGATTCAATCAGAGCTGGTGATTTGATAATACCGATTGACAATCGGAATCGAACAATTATTGTTATTTCAAATCTAATCTTAAAATGTTACAACGTATTTTGTTCGTTTTCGCCGCAAAGACGCGTAATCAATACGAGTGAGTGAGTTAGGTTTAACGCCGCTTTTAACAGTTTTCCAGTTATATCACGGCGTGTCAGCTTAATGTGGGCGGAAAGTCCGAAGTGATGCAGACGTTTACCCACGAGCACGGGTACGGTGCTGACAAACATAGAAACATAATTTGGGCGAACCGGGATTCGAACCCACAATCATAGGTTTCTTGCGTGCCCAAAGGACGCAACTGCACTGCGAATCGCGGCGCCTTAGACGACTGGGCCACCCGTGCCCCCTAATACGACTCAATGTCCAGTCAATCCTGACCGTGTATGCCTCGTAACTAAATGAAATAAACATTTAAAACCTGAATTAGGCGCGAATCAACTTGGGCGCGACGATTTTCATATAAACATTGTACCACAGTGTAGCTATAAAATAAACAACTGCTTTGTTGATCAAATGAGTTTAAATCATTTGAAAAACCCACAGTTCATTCTTAATTTACAATCTCCCAGTAACGGAAGCCAGTCAAACAAACTACAATCGTTTCGTCAGGCAGCGTTGACATCTGTGAATTAAAAGTTTGTTATACATAACTGATACTGTATACGCTAAGTAAGTTACAGGTGAGGTGAGGTGAAATGGGGTTTAACGTCGCGTCCAAGATTATTGCACTTATATAGCGACGTGCAGGTATGTGTATGTGTTTGTGTGGCTGCTTGTACTAGTCCGGACTGATGCCGATTTATAGTGCTAGCTCACTGAGATAGCATGCCGCAGTTTAACATGAATACCCCACTCAGACACAGTATACTGACTTCGAGCCGACCAGTCCTTGTTTTAGCCCCTTAATGCCGAGCGCCAGACAGGGTAACAACAAGTACCATCTTTTAACGTCTTTTGGTATGACGCGGCCGGGGATCGAACCCCGGACCTTCCGCTCTCCGGGCGGACGCTCTTCCACTAGACCACGGAGGCGGTCTTAGTAAGTTACAGAATAACGCGAGGCAATCCTAACTGGTTCAAACACCAACACATACACTCGCTCTCTCACTGCAAAGTTTTAAAATTTTGGCCATGAAACCTCAACCTCACATGTGGTCACAACATATATATCTAAAGAAAGATGAATCTAAATACTACATATTATATCTGCATGTGTAGAGGCCACACCATTTCGGAGTCCCGTGATGGGATTCGAACCATTGAGTTTGTTATGATATTGGATTTTCTTGTCGTTTTCGCGGAACAGCAGTCGACAGCGGCGGGAGGATATTTCCAAAATGGTTTGTACTGGAAGTAGAGTTATCTGCCCTTGTTGTGTACATGAACATGGCAGGATTGGTGGTACGAAAAGTTCGGGATGGGCCAGTGTCTAAAAGGCAGATTGCACACATACACAACAAATAGAGGGCGATTCGAGGCATTTTCAACCTGATCTGCTTCTTATCTCCTAGCCAAGTTCGGCTGTTTTCTTCCGTTTTGAAAATCAAAGTGCCCTTAAACCCAACTCATACACTCACTCCATTGTTGGCAACAAATTTGAAATGGCGAAAAGAGTATTGATGAAATTATTGCTTAGTGTACAAAAGGGCAACGCTCATGAAGTTTATTTAGCGCTAACATTTGGTGTCAGTTCAAGTTATGATGAGGTTGAAAAGACCATGTTGGAGGTTTGTGAGTTGGTCCTTGGGGCATTTAGGCAAACATTTAGGCAGTCAAACAACAGGGGTGCTAATACTGATATCGAGTTTGCACGGAAAAAGGAGACTTTGTTTGATTGGTTGCGCTGATCGAAAGATGTTGGTTAAAATTTTGACAGGCTGAGGCAGCTGATTTTTTTGGAAGATTTCAAGCAGTGTTTGTATGCTGATATTCGGACTTATTTGGGTGAACAGTAGACGGATCAGCTGCACTGGACTGCAGCCTTGGCAGATAGTGACTCGGTTACTCACAAGAGTAATTTCAGGCAGTGCAGTTACTCTACCAGGAATACATCTATAGGGGTAATTTCAGGTCAGGTCAGTCTGGCAATTCAGGTCAGGAGAAGTCAGCTACTTGTGTTGAGGCAGGTTCGCATCTTAGGAAATCGGCTTGTTCATTCCTCAGAACATCCGATACCCCAGTTGGTTTAAAAGAGGATTCAGCTTTATTGGTTGGTACTAGATACAGATATTTACAGAAGCCAGGTAATTTGATTTCTGATTAAAGCAAACTCAAGGACGAAAATCAGCCATGAACCTCTCTCCATGCAATTAGAGTCCCAGCTTATGTCTGATGTCAGAAACACCGAGAAGTATTTTTGACTTGTGCATCTACCCATTGTTCCGGATGCGGAGTACTTGCCTTTTTCAAAAGGATTTGTGTCGCTTAAAGTTGACGAAATAGAGAATCCATTTTTATCAACGAGTGTTGCTTTTTTTGATAACAAAAGACACGAGGGTGAGATTTTATTTATCACCGAACATCATTCTTTGTAGGCAGTAATAAGCAGTGTCTTCGGTGTATAAAGTACTGCTAACAACTTTAGTAGCAGAGACGTTGTTGATGTCCTTTGATTGTGACAACCTGGTAACACTGACGTCACAATGGTCTGCAAAGCATTGTGATGCAATTTCTTTGCAGCGATATCTCCTGGGGGAGCCAGTTTGGATGATATTTTAGAATTGACCTTCACTTTGTGTGAGTTCATTGGAGAATGAACCTTCATAGAGTGAGGGCCAAACTGTATGAACGTCGGAGCTTGCGAACTCACACAAAGTGAAAGTCAATTCTTATAAATTTTTTATCACAATTTCTCACCTCAAAGGATGTAGGCCAAGATCTAAACACAATTCTATTTAGTACGTGTGACTTCATGTTAACACTTTCAGCCATACAACAACCAGCTACATCGCGGAGTAAAAAAGTTCCTCAAAAAGAGAGGTGACATGGGCGTATGGATGCACAACTTGCTCTTCAGAAACATCTTACACAGCACATGGATTCAAATCATATCCTCATTAGACGAGAAAGGACCAGTAAGTAAGTCACAATGACAGCGCGTCGTAATACATTTACATCAAGTACAAGACGTCAAAATGGCCGACACGATAAACGTGACGGGAGAGATTTCCGAAGTTGTTAATGAACCTATGGCGGTTACATGTGTTTGTCACCATTGATCAACTGGCCGATCATTGAAAGGTGAATAAAGATGCGTCAAACAGACACTATGGTAAATTCATAGATTGCTGGAGACGGTCAGTGTCAGCCTAGACACGGATCGAGTCGATACTACGATAGTTTAGATGTGCATTTCTTCGTTTGTTCATTAGGATAGGCCGCAGCGAGGATATTCGTGAACAATTATGCAGTCACGCAGTCTGACATCTCTTAACGTATACTGAAACGCTGAGACCAAGAATAAAGGTTCTAAATGATCAGAAAGAACGCTTATGTATGTTTTCGTGCTAGGGAATTCCCAGGGGTTTCCCCAGGAATGTGGAAGTAGTCCGTCAGTGTTTACGTCATTTCAAGAACACTGTCTCATGAAAAACGTATGAACGTCAAATTGTGTCGTTCATACACTTATGAAAGTCAATTTCGCGGTCATGTGACCGACCTCTCGTCCAATGGAAAAGCCGTATATCGTGTAAACTGCAAATTAATAAATCATATACATTTGAATATTCTGAGGAACACACGGACACTTTAGTTATGCTGTTGGAGGACGTCCTCCTTTTGGGGGAACAGTCTTATGTCACTGCCAGCAGGGTTGTTGTATTAGAGATTATTCAAAAACTTCTCCCCATTGTTTTTTATGAATGTCATGTCCCAGCCTCTTGCTGATGTCATTAACTGGAGGATGAGAATGTTTGTGGTGTTCAACTACCAAAGTCTGCTGTTGTAAGGAAGGAGTAGCTACCTTATATTTCAAAAGGTATAGTTTCGCTTCTGAACATCCAGTGACGTAGGGGCGGTCGGGTAGCCTAGTGATTAAAGCGTTCGCTTGTCACGCCGAAGACCCGTGTTCGATTCCCGACATGGGTCTACTGTGTGAAGCCCATTTCTGGTGTTCCCGGCCGTGACATTGCTGGAATATTTCTAAAAGCTGAGTAAAACCATACTCACTCACTCCAGTGACGTCATCCTATAGTTCTTTAGACGCGTTAAATCTCATAAAAAAGGGATCCCGGGATAGTTGCAATATACGAGTATATGTTATAATATCGCCGGGAGTTCATATAATATCACGGGGATTTTATGAATACAACTTCCATTTATAATTGTAACACATGTTTCTCGCAAGAAATTTATTTTGCATTTGGACATAATGTAATGAAATGTAAAATGACAAATGTTTTCTTCATATTCCCGCGGATCGAACACGCAACCTTTGTTGCTACAGACGCACTTATAAATCACAATGCTTTTAAGAATATATATTTTCAAGTAACCATTCTCCACCAACATAGTTTACGCCCGTTACCTGATGTTCATGGAAAGTATGTATGAATCATAAAACTGTTGATAAATGTTGTTTTAAGTTTCTTTCTTTTTCGGTTTATAAGTTAGATAAAAAAAGACGCCATCCTGACGAGTTTTATCCAACATTTATGTGGGATAATTCAACATTCCACCCATTGGTATTCTGAGGGTCACAGGTTCTCCGGTTTTTAATGCTAGAGGGGGGCCTGCCATTTTTGGCGTCTTTCGCTAACTCAGATTTATTATTAGAGGGTACTGGTGGGGTTACTTGTGCGCCTGTCCATTGGGGTGGTTTGCAGTCAGATCTGGTGTTGGGTTCAGTGGAAGTTAGTTCCAGATGTTGATTTGCTTGTAATGGTTTAACGGGGTCCAAGGTGATCCATGTGTGAGCATTGAGCAAAGCAATTCCGAGAGCACTGGATCACTTCAAGAAGACATTCAAGGTATATTTCCTTCGTGTGCTTCATGTATTATTCAATATTTGTCAAAAATGTATTTGTTTTCATGTCATTGTTTATTTTAACGTTGCGAACAAATTTGGATATATCATGATGCTAGACATCCCCCTACAGATTCTAGCTCATCTCTTCAGAGAAGTGTTGGACATTAGAGGGCAGTGAGGGGACGGGTGCGCCACAGCATGGGATGCCAAAGCTCACATGGATTTTAATTAAACATGACAAAATGTGTGTTTATACCCAATGGTGTTTTATTTCCTTGTGATGATACATTAACTTGAGGGAGTAACTATCAGCCACCAGACAGCCATCGCACAGATTGGGTTATCCAATCTACAAGAAAAGATAAAAACCAAACATAATAGTGAAATAATATTGCAATTTGAACACCAGAATAACCTTGTCCAGGGGTTATCATTAGTCATTTAAAGATGTGCAGGTGACTATTGCTTTCATTTATTTGTTAAATTGATATAACATTAATTGAAATGTACACTGATTTTGATTGTACATGTAGACTAAGAGGGCTTCTTTTTTATTTGTATGGGGATTTGAGAACAATTCCCTGCTGTAACTAACAAAGTATTTATTTACTGAGAACAATCAAACAATCCATTCATTTTCACTATTAACACAATAAATTGGGTATTTTATAAATAGAAGTTATCTTACACCTCAGCACCACTAACCCCGCCCTTCCACCGCCTAATGGATGCTCCTTTAGGTAGTTGGCTTAGATTATGTCACTTAATTTTAATACAAATGTTTTCAACATGGTCGTCCGTCAGAAGGTGTTTCCAGATTAGAAGGTCTGGAAGAACATGGGTTCTCTGTATACGTCTGGCATCTGAAGCTTTATATCAACAAAAATTACCTGATATTTGTAATTTATTATCCTGTAGCCTGACGAAGTTATCTGAAACACAAACAAAACTAGAAGTACTTTCGAAGGAAAGAGAAATAGTAACAGGTAAATGTAGCAGTCGGGATAAAAGAGAGTAAGTTACAACGTCACAGCTCAAAGTGTGAATAGAAATCGATGGCGACTGTTGGTATATGAAGTTTACATACACATGCTAAAACAAAGGTATTAGTTTGATTGTAATGTCCCATTAACAGAGATAGAAGCAGACAGATGAGTGCATCCTTGCATGTCCCATTAACTGAGAAAGAAAAAGAAAGATGAGTGCAACCTGACATGTCCCATTAATAGAGAAAGAAGCAGACAGGTGTGTGCACCCTGGCATGTCCCATTAATGGAGAAAGAAGCAGATGGGTGTGTGCACCCTGACATGTCCCATTAATGGAGAAAGAAGCAGACAGGTGTGTGCACCCTGGCATGTCCCATTAATAGAGAAAGAAGCAGAGAGATGTGTGCACCCTGGCATGTCCCATTAATAGAGAAAGAAGTAGACAGATGTGTGCACCCTGGCATGTCCCATTAATGGAGAAAGAAGCAGATAGGTGTGTGCACCCTGACATGTCCCATTAATGGAGAAAGAAGCAGAGAGATGTGTGCACCCTGGCATGTCCCATTAATGGAGAAAGAAGTAGACAGATGTGTGCACCCTGGCATGTCCCATTAATGGAGAAAGAAAAAGAAAGATGAGTGCAACCTGACATGTCCCATTAATAGAGAAAGAAGCAGACAGGTGTGTGCACCCTGGCATGTCCCATTAATGGAGAAAGAAGCAGATGGGTGTGTGCACCCTGACATGTCCCATTAATGGAGAAAGAAGTAGACAGATGTGTGCACCCTGGCATGTCCCATTAATAGAGAAAGAAGTAGACAGATGTGTGCACCCTGACATGTCCCATTAATAGAGAAAGAAGTAGACAGATGTGAGCACTGTTGCATGTCCCATTAACAGAGAAAGAACTAGACAGACGTGTGCACCCTGGCATGTCCCATTAATGGAGAAAGAAGCAGAGAGATGTGTGCACCCTGGCATGTCCCATTAATAGAGAAAGAAGTAGACAGATGTGTGCACCCTGGCATGTCCCATTAATGGAGAAAGAAGCAGATGGGTGTGTGCACCCTGACATGTCCCATTAATGGAGAAAGAAGTAGACAGATGTGTGCACCCTGGCATGTCCCATTAATAGAGAAAGAAGTAGACAGATGTGTGCACCCTGACATGTCCCATTAATAGAGAAAGAAGTAGACAGATGTGAGCACTGTTGCATGTCCCATTAACAGAGAAAGAACTAGACAGACGTGTGCACCCTGGCATGTCCCATTAATGGAGAAAGAAGCAGAGAGATGTGTGCACCCTGGCATGTCCCATTAATAGAGAAAGAAGTAGACAGATGTGTGCACCCTGGCATGTCCCATTAATGGAGAAAGAAGCAGATGGGTGTGTGCACCCTGACATGTCCCATTAATGGAGAAAGAAGCAGAGAGATGTGTGCACCCTGGCATGTCCCATTAATAGAGAAAGAAGCAGATAGGTGTGTGCACCCTGACATGTCCTATTAATAGAGAAAGAAGCAGAGAGATGTGTGCACCCTGGCATGTCCCATTAATAGAGAAAGAAGTAGACAGATGTGTGCACCCTGGCATGTCCCATTAATGGAGAAAGAAGCAGATAGGTGTGTGCACCCTGGCATGTCCCATTAATGGAGAAAGAAGTAGACAGATGTGTGCACCCTGGCATGTCCCATTAATGGAGAAAGAAGCAGATGGGTGTGTGCACCCTGACATGGCCCATTAATGGAGAAAGAAGTAGACAGATGTGTGCACCCTGGCATGTCCCATTAACTGAGAAAGAAGCCGGCAGGTGTGTGCACCCTGACATGTCCCATTAACTGAGAAAGAAGCCGGCAGGTGTGTGCACCCTGACATGTCCCATTAACTGAGAAAGAAGCCGGCAGGTGTGTGCACCCTGACATGTCCCATTAACTGAGAAAGAAGCCGGCAGGTGTGTGCACCCTGACATGTCCCATTAATAGAGAAAGAAGCAGAGAGATGTGTGCACCCTGGCATGTCCCATTAACAGAGAAAGAACTAGACAGACGTGTGCACCCTGGCATGTCCCATTAATAGAGAAAGAAGCAGAGAGATGTGTGCACACTGGCATGTCCCATTAATAGAGAAAGAAGTAGACAGATGTGTGCACCCTGGCATGTCCCATTAACTGAGAAAGAAGCAGATAGTGGTGTGCACCCTGGCATGTCCCATTAACAGAAAAAGAAAAAGAAAGATGAGTGCACCCTTACATGTCCCATTAACAGAGAAAGAAGCCGGCAGGTGTGTGCACCCTGACATGTCCCATTAATAGAGAAAGAAGTAGACAGATGTGTGCACTCTGGCATGTCCCATTAACAGAGAAAGAACTAGACAGACGTGTGCACCCTGGCATGTCCCATTAATAGAGAAAGAAGCAGAGAGATGTGTGCACACTGGCATGTCCCATTAATAGAGAAAGAAGTAGATGGGTGTGTGCACACTGGCATGTCCCATTTATGGAGAAAGAAGCAGATGGGTGTGTGCACCCTGGCATGTCCCATTAATGGAGAAAGAAGCAGAGAGATGTGTGCACCCTGGAATGTCCCATTTATGGAGAAAGAAGCAGATGGGTGTGTGCACCCTGACATGTCCCATTAATAGAGAAAGAAGCAGAGAGATGTGTGCACTGTTGCATGTCCCATTAACAGAGAAAGAAGCCGGCAGGTGTGTGCACCCTGGCATGTCCCATTAACAAAAAAAGAAGCAGATAGGTGTGTGCACCCTGGCATGTCCCATTAATAGAGAAAGAAGCAGAGAGATGTGTGCACCCTGGCATGTCCCATTAATGGAGAAAGAAGCAGAGAGATGTGTGCACCCTGGCATGTCCCATTAATAGAGAAAGAAGCAGAGAGATGTGTGCACCCTGGCATGTCCCATTAATAGAGAAAGAAGCAGATGGGTGTGTGCACCCTGACATGTCCCATTAATGGAGAAAGAAGTAGACAGATGTGTGCACCCTGGCATGTCCCATTAATGGAGAAAGAAGTAGATGGGTGTGTGCACCCTGACATGTCCCATTAATGGAGAAAGAAGTAGACAGATGTGTGCACCCTGACATGTCCCATTTATGGAGAAAGAAGCAGATGGGTGTGTGCACCCTGACATGTCCCATTAATGGAGAAAGAAGCAGAGAGATGTGTGCACCCTGGCATGTCCCATTAATAGAGAAAGAAGCAGAGAGATGTGTGCACCCTGGCATGTCCCATTAATGGAGAAAGAAGCAGAGAGATGTGTGCACCCTGGAATGTCCCATTAATAGAGAAAGAAGCAGAGAGATGTGTGCACCCTGGCATGTCCCATTAATAGAGAAAGAAGCAGATGGGTGTGTGCACCCTGACATGTCCCATTAATGGAGAAAGAAGTAGACAGATGTGTGCACCCTGGCATGTCCCATTAATGGAGAAAGAAGTAGACAGATGTGTGCACCCTGGCATGTCCCATTAATGGAGAAAGAAGCAGATGGGTGTGTGCACCCTGACATGTCCCATTAATAGAGAAAGAAGCAGAGAGATGTGTGCACCCTGGCATGTCCCATTAACTGAGAAAGAAGCAGATAGGTGCGTGCACCCTGGCATGTCCCATTAACAGAAAAAGAAAAAGAAAGATGAGTGCACCCTGGCATGTCCCATTAACAGAGAAAGAACTAGACAGACGTGTGCACCCTGGCATGTCCCATTAATAGAGAAAGAAGCAGAGAGATGTGTGCACCCTGACATGTCCCATTAATAGAGAAAGAAGTAGACAGGTTTGTGCACTCTGACATGTCCTATTAACTAAGAAAGTCGCAGACAGGTGTGTGCAACCTGGCATGTCCCATTAACAGAGAAAGAAAAAGACAGGTGTGTGCATTCCTGGCATATCCCATTTACAGAGAAAGAAGCAGACAGATAAGTGCACTCTGGCATGTTCCATTAACAGAGAAAGAAAAAGACAGATATGTGCATCCGTGGCATGCCCCATTTACAGAGAAAGAAGCAGTCAGATAAGTGTACCCTGGCATGTCCCATTAACTGAGAAAGAAGCAGATAGATGAATGCACCCTGATATTTGGGCAGGACTTACCTGCCCAACGTCGGCGTTTAGAGCTGCATAGGCACAGACAGGGAAGGAAGCGAATGTGACCGTATTGTTTGTTCTCAGCACGCTTTTGTCAAAGAGGAAGACAACGCTAGTCATGGACGACATGTCATTGCACATTGAGTAGGTCAGTGCTCCCCCGTTGATGTCAAGCGCCCCTATGTAGTCGTTCACCTCCACAAAGATCTCACTCAGGCCGCTCAGGTGCACCACGTTGACCCTGTCCGCGTCGCATTCTGTTTCTGTCACCCCTACTACGAAGGCTCTGAAAGGCCATGCACGATATCGCATTTTAGTTCCTCTCGAATACATGAAACACACATGTTCTCCTTGTGACAAATGAGTATAAATATATTATTAAAATCTAATTATATACGTCTGAATATTCTCCTGGTGAACTTCAGGACTTCAATAGTGTTTTACGTTACGGGGTATAGACGAAAAATAAGGTGTGCTCACAATGTACAGCATCGAAACAATGCTGAGTACCCAGACTGTTTCTTTAAAAAATAACATAAAAAGACAATGAAACGAAATCGATGTCATCGTTAAGTGCAATAATGCACCACAAGCCCCGCATATTCTTAAGGGACAGGTGCCATGAAGATCCGGGGTAGAATATGCAACCCATGCTTGTCGTAAGAGGCGACTAACGGGATCGGGGGGTCAGTCTTGCTAACTTGGTTGATGCATGTCATCGTATCCCAATTGCATGGATCGATGCTCATGATGTCAATATCTAGATTGTCTGGTCCAGACTCGAACGGGGAACACGGGTGGCCCAATCGTCTTAGGCGCCGCGATATAACTGGAATACTGTTAAAAGCAACGTTAAATCCAACTCACTCACTCACTCACTTTGTGGAACGGGGTCCAGGTCTTTTACTACTAGGTACCCAAGTAAACAAAATATCTCCAATTACCCAACTGACGTATCTCGAAACACTGCCAACTTGACCGGGCCAGCCTTGACACAGTAGAAGTACCAGGTTTTCAGAGCTCCGGCCCTTGTGATGTTAGTGTTAGGAGTGTTAGCAATGAACGCCCAGGCTGACAAGAAGCTGAGCTGGTACTGCTTCACCTCAAGGTCACTCACCGGAAGTGTCTCCTTGTTTTCACCTTTCAAAAAGGTAAAGGACTGTAATGTGTTTCTACACAAAAATGGAAGAATATTCCCGTAATATTTCACAAATGAAGTTGAATTACATTTTTTCATGAGTGAGTGTTTACATAGCCAGTGTCGTAAAGGGGTAATTAATATCGCCATGTCTTGATTTTCGACAACCAACCAATCAATCGAGCAGGAACTTTATCGTTCATTTACCTCCACAGACAAGCATTTCACCGAATAAGGTCCCATCCATCAAACATGCGAGTTCCGTCTCGCCGGACTGTTTGAAGAATCCTGTGCTGCACTCATACTGAACAAATTGTCCTTGGCTAACGGTCGGATCTTTAGTGACCAACACAGCCCTTGAAGATGACTTGGGAGATTTCACACTGCATGTAGCCTCTGAGATAGAGAACATAGATTAATAATATCGACACAAATTTCGTCAACGTTGGGACGTACTGTAACCATACGGTTGTTCTCCATACCCGTAACCGTAACATCCGCAAAACCACCGTCTACATCAGAGTCTCCCAGTGAAGATCCTGGTTGGAATTGGTCTTCAGCAACCCATATTTGTCGTAACGGGCTCATGGTGTCAATCACTGGAGTTTTTGGGGCAGACTCTATTTTGTACAGACCGCCGCCATACGGCTGGTATATTGATGGGTGCGGCGTTAAACAACAAACAAACAAACAAAAAAAACCAAAAAGGGAGCAGTTAATAGATAATTGTCAAAATCCTGCATCATTTACGTACCCACAGCAAGCTGACACGTCGTGATATAACTGACATACTTTTCAGTACTACATACAAAAAGAACAATGAAATTTTAGCCTTTTACACTCTGGTAGTACTTTAACCATGTCTGACAATTTCATGACCAATATTTCAAAGTTTCCTGAACATTTCAGATTCACAATTTTAGTTGGCCCAAAAGGTCCTCATCATGCCCATGCCCTTTCGTCTTGACATATTACTTTAAAGAACAAAGGACAAATATAAATATACAAATGATGTTCCTAACTCACTCGACCCTGCGCACTTCCCGCAGGTTGCAGCACAGTATTTGTTGCTGTAAGTTTGGGATGTGGAACACATTGTGCGGTTGTTCTTCAGCAGGTTTTGACACATGGTTTTCTGGTCAGCACACTCTGGAAAACATGTACACATCATATATTGCCTGCCTTGGAAAGGCCCACGTGCACAAAGCATGTTTTATACAAAAAGTAAAAGGGAACGAATTTGCGAGGACTTTCAAATCATAAGCAACTCCTTCACTGCCATACATTTATTTCCAGAATTGAAAAAACCCCACAAAACTAAAATAGTCCAACTTTAATCAGAAAGTCATATGGCTCCAGCGTCCTAATAAGAAAAATATATGTAATTCTGGTCTTTTGACCTTGACCCTCAAATTGAGGTCAATCACGTGCTAGAAATTTCAATTTACAAACATGAGACCTGATTCATCCCTACCCAGAAGGTTGCTTCAGTATGCATCTACTTTAAGAAGATGTGACTTTGACCGTCAATTGAGGTCTGTCTAAACCTAACTATTTCAGTGACTTACGCTGAGGTTTATATGGACTAAGTTTAATCTTTTTACTATAAACACTTATTGACCAGGGTACTGTTGTAAAAACAACCTTAGCGCTACGTCTATGTTAAGGTATGGGAGTTACGATCACCTTGGCGCTAAGATCGCTTTGTACAACGGCACCCTGTAACATGATAATATCATTTCTTATTATAGTTATAGCGCGTATGACCTTTCTTTGATTATGACCTTAAATATCAGTTTAAGAATATCCGATAGAGATAAGCGGTATATTGATGAATCGGAAATCAGTTATTGCGTACGCTACTTGTTGAAGGTTGGTCAAAGTGACCTATCTACTACCTAGGGTATGACCTCAAAACTGACCTTGACCTATGAAATAATTGATTAATGGCTTACATAAAATCACAAAGCATATTTTGTGTGAGCTATATAATCGGTCGTCAGTAATCCATGCTACCTGTTATTTGATGGGGCTGGTAGTAAATTCGGTCAGGTAACCACAGACGTTCCAATTCCAAACACCGTAGCGACATATACAGTCTTTACATCAAATTGTGCCCGGTCATAACACTCCTTTGAATAAAGAATAATATAGATGACTATTTAGCACAGTGCATGGCACTGACCTATTCAGTATAAACACCAAAAATATAACATATTGAATTATCACGCAATTTTAAGGGTTCATTAAGGTTGCCATGTCATGATCCATCATTTCCTTCCCACGGTGTAACAATATGAACTGGTATCGTAACATTACCTCCACAAACTCCTTGAAGGTCGGACCACACACCAGTTGAGAGACACCATCTGGATGACATCTTGGAGCTGTCGCCAAGGCACTGGTATATGACGACGTCGTTGGTGTTGTAGCTGACCCCGGGTGTCACCGTCAGGCGAGCACCATTGATTGGAGGGGGAGAACCACATTTAGCTGGAAATGAAATCATTTAGTGTGATTTTATTTAAAACAAATTTGGAGGAGCCTCAATTCACTGTGCAGTGTTGCCTCCCTTTGCCATGTCGGGATCCGTTAATTGTTCGTTCGAATTTCATTTTATTTCACCGATGTTGGAAGGAAGCCCGAAGTGATTCGGTTCTTAGAACTTACCACAGTGACACAAACGAGCAAGTACTGCCAAAGACTGGGTCTGGCTGTTTTGTTGTGGCATGGCGCAGTTTTCATGTCATCGACACTTTGTGCTTGTGACTAAAAACGATTGGCGTCGCGATGATACACGCACAATGATTGTGTGCGTCGCGCATGCATGGTTTGTATGTCAGTACACACCGAAAACACGTGTCAGTACTTCCCTAATAAGCTACTTCTTTCCTGTCCAGTTCAGTTTGCAGAGTATGCATGCTATTTACGAACCGTATGTCTAGATCGTTACGCGAATTTGAATGGACCATGCATGTAAGTCCAGCCAAAAGTTAACTCCGGAATTCCAGCCTAGTTCGGCAAGGGTGACGACTGGACTTTTATAGTCAGTTAACTCCCTTGCATCAGGAAGATGCTACAGTCGGTACATTTATCCACTTGCCTGTCTCAATCTTTGGCGCCAGAATACCACACGTCTTCCTGCAGCCCTTTTCAGCTTCTTCGTCGTCACAGAACTTGGGATGTCGTCTTAAGATATCGCCGCAGTTGTCGTAGACGTCGTAGACGTCGCCTGTTGAGAGAAGCATCACTGGTACCAGCAATGTATGTGATATTTGGCACATGATAAAGGGCAGATAACATAACAATTGATGTGACACCATGTCAGTCCTAACTGATGGAGACCAACTCTATGGTGTAGTGGATAGACCATATCCCGGAGAGCCGAGAGTCGGTGGTCCGATCCCGGCCGCGTCATACCAAAGACGTTAAAAGATGGTACATATTATCCAGCCTGGCGTTCCTCGTTATGGGGATTTAATAAGGACTTGTCGGTTTGGATCATGTATACTGTGTCTGAGTGGGATATAGAGAATCTCACCCGAGTGTCTTTTGATATCAAATATATCAACACGAGTTGATAAAAGTGGAAAAATTCCGAAGCTTGCCGAGGATTTTTGCTACTTTTATCAACGAGTGTTGATATATTTGATATCAAAAGACACGAGGGTGAGATTTTATTTATCATCCAACATCATTCTTTCAACTTTTTCAATTTGTAGACAGTAATTAGCAGTGTCTTCAGTGTAAGAAGTACTGCAAACGGCTTCAGTAGCAGAGCCATAAGTGATGTCATTTGATTGTGACGTCATGGTAACCAGTGACGTCACAATGGTTTGTAAAGCATCGTGATGTAATTTCATTGCAGCGATATCTACAGTGTAGATATCGCTTGATCTCATCCAAGCGATATATCCTGTGGGAGCCAGTTTTGGATGATAAATCTATGTTACACTGCAGCATGGTATCTCAATTGGCTGGCACTATAAAAAAACGGCCTCAGTCCGGACACGTATACACATCGCTCCATAAGTGCAATGACCTTGGACGCGACGTTAAACCTATTTTCATCTCACCTCATGCACCTCGCCTTACCTTACCGTTTGGAAATAAATTATTGTTGCTGTTACAGTTTCCAAATACTCCAGCTGACACCAGTCTCCATGTCTACCCTACCTTTCTGGCATGGCTCGCAGTATCTGATGGTACAGCTTGATGGCTTGACGTCGGTGTAGCACCAGGGTCTGTGGAGGACCCCACCGGGATTGCGGCAGCTGTTACCAGTATAGTCAGCCTTCAGGTCACTGAAACACAGGAACATGGTCTCAGAGACTCAGACAGCTGGGAGATCACCACATATACTGAACAGTAATTGTTAGTTATCATATATTTTTGGGCCTAATTTTTGAAATCGTGAAAATTTTGAACTGGAATGTTTTTGAAATCGTGTGCTCAGTCTTCGCTACAAAATAAAAATCCCCAAAATATTCATGATTCCTAACATATTTTGTTTAGTATATTACCGATGTCTATAAATATGGTAGGTAAGTGAGTTGGGTGATACCGTCGCTGTGAACATTATCTCAGTCCTATAATGGCTTAATGTGGGAGGAAAGCCGGGTGTGACCCACATTTTAGCTATAGCCGTTTACCAGTTTTGTGAGAATCATGAGGGCAGCTAAGGTGCTCAGATGCGAAACTTCGACCTTAACACGCCTAAGGGACGCAATACTTTATTAAATATAATATGAAAGTGATGCATATCTTAGACCTACGTCAAAGTTTTATTAAACCCAACTCACAAATTTACTTTAAGTTACGCTTCAGGTTCAGTGGGACATGTGATATCTATCTTGTGAGCCATAATTCTCCTTATATTCACATATAATTTAAACGTCACCTTAATGCCTCGGATAAAACCGTCGGACACTTATACCCGTGATAGAACTGATCCCATCACTCTCAGAACAGAACAGAGAACACAGAACAGATTAGAACAGTGCTGAGCAGAAGGGAACAGAGAACAGAACAGAGAACACAGAACAGAACAGATCAGAACAGATCAGAACAGAGAATAGAACTGAGCAGAACAGGGAACAAAGAATGGAATAGAGAACACAGAAAAGAACAGATCAGAACAGGGAACAGAACAGATCTGAACAGAACAGAACAGATCAGAACAGGGAACAGAACAGATCAGAACAGAGAACACAGAACAGATCAGAACAGGGAACAGAACAGGACTGAGCAGAACAGGGAACACAACAGGACTGAGCAGAACAGGGAACAAATAAAACAGGACTGAGCAGAACGGAACAGAGAACACAGAACAGAACAGGGAACAGAACAGATCAGAACAGAACAGAACAGATCAGAACAGGGAACAGAACAGATCAGAACAGAGAACACAGAACAGATCAGAACAGGGAACAGAACAGGACTGAGCAGAACAGGGAACAGAACAGGACTGAGCAGAACAGGGAACAAAACAGGACTGAGCAGAACGGAACACAGAACAGAACAGATCAGAACAGGGAACAGAACAGAACTGAGGAGAACTGAACAGAACAGAGAACACAGAACAGAGTGCGGCGTTAAACAACAAACTAAACAAACAAATCCTTTCGGAAGAGGTGACTATTTCTGATCGGGTGATCTGATTCGGTGAGCTACGTGTAATTATGTCCCTGCAGCGTGGTACGCTGATCCTAAAAACTGGCCCTGACTCGACCTTCTTCAGGCCGTAATGGTAAAAGCACGGACAATGATGACTGTGGAATTAAACAACACTGGCCTAGTTGCACATGTACATGGACATCCTGATTCGGAATTGAAGCCTGATAATTGAATGATAACATAACTCACGCAGTCATTGAGAACGGGCTATGGTTACAGGTCGTGGCTTCTGACCAATTGACACACTTGTAGTACTTCTCGGAGAACTGGAGATCAGCGTTGTAGGTCTCTCCCCTATCATCCCAGTTGTAGCAGCTGTCCTCGGCTGGAGAAGTAGAAGGATATATAGCGGACCCGTTGTACATTAGAAGGATATATAGCGGACCCGTTGTACAAGTAGAAGGATATATAGCGGACCTGTTGTACAAGTAGAAGGATATATAGCGGAACCGTTGTACAAGTAGAAGGATTAATAGCGGACCCGTTGTACAAGTAGAAGGATTAATAGCGGACTCATTGTACAACCTCATTTCACCGACTGAGGTGGTACTTTGGTAATTCCAGATCATAGACGATGATTTTGCTTATTCAATATCATATCACAGACCAAAGTTCTTTTGTGGCAACTCGTAGCCTTAATTTTCGGAAGATCCGGTGTTCGGTCCCCGGCGGCGTCATACCAAAAGACGTTAAAAGATGGGACTTGCTGTTACCCTGTCAAGCGCTCGCCATTAAGGGGCTAAAACAAGGACTGGTCGGCTCGGAGTCAGTGTACAGTGTCGGAGTGGGGAATTAAACTTCGGCATCGTATCTCATGATCAGTGCTGGCACTATAAATCGGTATCAGTCCGGACTAGTACAAGCATCACACACACATACACACGCACGCATGCACGCACGCACGCACGCACGCACGCACACACACACACACGCACACACGTACACACACACACACACACACACCTCACCTCACCTCACCTCACCTCATCTTGTTACACTACACATTACAGGCTAAGTTGGAACCGTGACAACGTCATCGCTCAGAGTATGACTTATCTGTGACACCTCAATGTACATGAACCTTGTCTGAAAGGTAACTTACGGAACAGAGCCTCGGCTGCAGCTACAAACAGGCTTGTCAACGTCTGTTCAGTGGATAGAGTAACTGCCATATAGTTGCCGGTGGAAAAAATAGACCTCTCAAAACCTTTACCACAGTACCTGCAGAGGTGATGGGAACACATTTCATAAAAAGTTCATACACACTAAAAAGATGTCCGTAGTGCAATGGTTGCGGTATCGAAGTTGGGACACCAAGTTTACGAGAATTGAATTTTTTCAGAGTTTTTCCTTTGTAGATAACAGACAGGGACGATATTTGAAGCGTGAAATTCGTTTGTTTTTTTCTGAGCCAAATTTTAATTACCCTTGCCGGCGAACAAAGGTTTCATTAATGAGATGGAAGGAAGTTAAGGATGAAATACAACATCCCCTTGACTCGTCATTTCCTAAACCCAGATAAGTTATGGCTCATTCAAGCCGAACGGTATTTTCGGGGTGTTTAAAGGGTTTCGCTGTACACAAATTTATACACTTTCTGCAAGATTATATCAAGACCAGATCAGCTTCATACCCATGTTTACACTTTCTGTAAGGTAACACCAAATTGAGATGAGCTGTAAACAGATGTATACACTTTCTGTAAGGTAACACCATATTGAGATGAGCTGTACACAGATGTATACACTTTCTGTAAGGTAACACCATATTGAGATGAGCTATAAACAGATGTATACACTTTCTGTAAGGTAACACCATATTGAGATGAGCTGTAAACAGATGTATACACTTTCTGTAAGATAACACCAAATTGAGATGAGCTATAAACAGATGTATACACTTTCTGTAAGGTAACACCATATTGAGATGAGCTGTACACAGATGTATACACTTTCTGTAAGGTAACACCATATTGAGATGAGCTGTACACAGATGTATACACTTTCTGTAAGGTAACACCATATTGAGATGAGCTGTACACAGATGTATACACTTTCTGTAAGGTAACACCAAATTGAGATGAGCTGTACACAGATGTATACACTTTCTGTAAGACAACAGCAATACGAGTTGAGCTGTATACTCACGTTGTACCCGACTGACCAAGAAGATTTCGGCGGATTCGCAGGGTAGCTTCACATTTGTCTGTGGATCCAGCAAGGTTCATGTCTTGGATTTTCAGCATCACTTTTCCGGGCGACTGATGTAGATAGACATCACTATAGAGATCTACATTCATACCCATCTCACCTTACATTAAAATACTGGCTTCCTATTGGTTAAGGAGTGGGCAATAATTTTCCGTGTAGCCCGCTCATGTACCTCGATCAAACGGAACACACCTTAGATACCTTCTTATCTCGCATTAGTATCGTTAAGGTGCATTCGTCACCACTCGCCCCTTTCCGTAACCTGCAAAAAGACTCGCCCCCCTATCGATGAATGTTATGTGCGAAAATACGACAAACCAATCCGAATGCGCGTATGATTTCAAGTTTTTCGTCCAAGAATCCCTCACAAATAATTTTGGATTTTACACATGTCTTGCATCTACAAATATTACCAAGACACAGTTAAATGTGTTCAATTATACTGTATAATTCCGCATGTCCAGATATGCTTTAACTTGCATCTGAAATATATATGATATGTGGGGATATATATGTGAACCATTACGCAACGAGCTGACAATTGTTTTAGGTATGCCCCTATGCGTTAAGACGGAACTGGTCGCAAAAATGGCCATTAGAGGGACACGAGTCTCTATTCGGCTTGTCCCGGAATAACACGAGTTGGTCACGAATGGTTCAGGTGAAATGAAGCGATGTTTCTGCGAATGCATTGAGTAAAGGGAAGTAACTCTGTTAATTTCCGTCGGCTGCTCGCCGTCAAAATAGCTGAATCAAAGTGTTTTACTCAGTGAAACTTCGGACATACATATGTATAATGTATAATCCGGGTTTGTATGAATGAGATACATTCGTTGTCAACCGATCCCTCAGGGCATATGGTGTGATGTACCCTGGGGTACATAGGCTCACACACAGGGTACATCACAATTAATACTCCTCGAGATCGGTTGATAACACAAAATGCACCGACCGCGTGTTACTGACAAGGGCTAAACGGATTTTCTTGTACTACAGATTCTACTACCCATTTAAATCAGGACCAGATGTGAACAAGATGAGAGTCCAAAGATGAAGGTAACAAATATGATTGGACACGAATTCAGGTAAACAACAAACAATCCACTTACCTTGATAATCCAGGTACATACTGACGAGGATGGGGCGGGGAAATTATAGCCTGGAGACTGGATGGTTTCCCTCGGCTTGTCACGGGATAGCTCTATGACCCCCCCGCAATCTAAGATTCACCAGAAACAAATTAATCATAATTATATATTAAGTTTAAACAATGGCTATGAAAATACGTAATTATGCTCGAATAAAATAAAGTAATAGGATAACCAGTAACCAGTGTGGAAGACTTTTGTAAAGTACTGTACTTACGAATGATTTCAGTGTACAGTAAACTACGCTTACAACGAACACGCTTATAACGAACTGACCGATATAACGAACTTATTTTTTAGTCCCGGTCATTTGTTGAATATATGCATATAACGAACTACGGTTTTTACGAACTTAAAGTAGTGGTCCCTTTGAGTTCATTATAACCGTAGTTTACTGTAAATGTAATTGGTAAACATTCTTGCAACATAATCCCACCCTGTGCAATGTGATGCTTAAAACACCAAGATCCCAGGACTTTATGTGCATTCAGAAAAAGGCACCATTCATAAATACGATTGTAGATGTGGAACCATATGCTGTTTGGCTGACACGTATGCCACTGGCTGACTCGAGAATAGGTCAAACCTCGAGATGTAACGAGTAGGAACTTGTGTATCAGAACATAGAGCAGACAACGACACTGATGGGAGATCATGTCTTATTCCAGAACATTGATTCCTTTGGAATAATAATCCTTGGACGTTGCAAACTGCTCCTGTACACTAGGTTTTCATTGTCCAGAACTACTGATCTTAAGATAAAATGTCCGGCGGACAGAGTTTGTTAGACTGTGACATCTGCTACACCGGTTCTCGAGCATCCGGTAACCGTCCATTTCTTCTAGGTAGTAAATGTTTGGCCGAATTACTGTTGCAACAAAGGCATTGTTATTACGTATCCCTGGGAGACCGTTACTTCCTTTCCGCGCTGTACTGGCGAGTGCTCAGGTCACATGCCAAGAATGACTGGTACGTAACGGGTTAGGCCGTCGCATCAGCTGTTGCAATCAGAGGTAGTTGTTCGAAACTTCTGATCGCATACTCCCATCGGAATGACGCATTTTCCAGCTTCATTGTAACATTGGTAATATACTCAGCGTCAAAAGAAACGCGAACCATAGAAACATATAGAGAAGTATGTACGTTAAGAAGAGATGTTTCCAATGTGTACCAATTAATGTCAAAACTAACAATCAGTCAAGTGTTACCATAGAGTGTCTTTATTCTTATCACGATACGCTGCATGTGATTTCCTAACTTTACACGCTAATCCTGCGCGAGACGAATGGTGCATCTCGAGTCATGGATCTATGACGTCATATGTGATGCTTTTATGAGTATCGGTTCACACGACAAACCAGTATGTGCGTTTGTGCATCGAACCAATCTAATATCTCTTGAATATGAGTAAGTCTTTATATATTAACCAACATGTATGGTATTCGCGTTTCTTTTGGCGGTGGGTAAATGTTTAATGGGACACTGACCTCCAGGTTTGACTGTTGTGCACTGGGTTGTGGGGTCCAGTCCGGCTGGGCAGACACACTGGCATTTATCCTCGTAGTACGAGACATAACCTTCGTTAGCGCAATTCAGAGTGACTGAAGAACATTTCATTTCTGAAAATACAGACATTCGCAACAGCGTGATGAGGTCAGAAATATGTTTTGTCTTTTAGCAATATTTCTACAATGCCACGGTGGGAGATTCACGGAGTATTATGTGAAATAAGTTTTGTTTGAACAAAAACAACAACAAGGTGAGCTTAGAAAGTCCGATATTTAGAAGTTTACAATAAGCTAACATAAAATCACTCAAATATAACCAACATCAAACGTTTGTGCACGCTTCCTTTTACCCATCAAAGTTATTATATTCATGACATTTAACTGCTGAGACATTTTTAAGCATTAATTTTCAAATTCTATTTCAAATTATATGATCATTACCAGAATGAACAGCTTTTTCATGTGTGTGGTCTTACCTACACACTTGTACACTTTAGAGGTCTCCTTCATCAGAAGCCAGTAGTCATCGGCAGGCTCAGCAAAGTCTCGGTACAGAGGGTCCAAGGTCGGCAGCCCATTGGAAGAGAAGTCCTAGAGCGAAAAAATAGCTGTCGCCAGTCTCGAAGGGAACATTATAACTTCTCCACTGTTTGGTTGATGTACCCTCTCTGTTAGTTCATGTTCCCCGACCCCGAATGTGTCTTACCGCACAACTAATTATATTGCAGGTATGTTTTATGCATGAAATGGTCCGAATTGATAAGAATACCACAGTTAGGCATTTATAGCAGATATTTTTAGTTATTCCCCCTAGACCTATTGCATTCGGAAAATATCGTAAATATCCGGAGAAATGCGTCTTGCATTTATTAATTCGAGATACAAACTTGCGGTTGGTATTTTGCAAATGTAATGCCAACAGTTTGGCAATTGAAGCGGGGAACATAAGAATGTACTTTACATTAGGGGTGACTATTGGTCTGGAAATCACTGTTGCGATAACTATTGATATTGAAAGAAACTATTGCGGTAACTATTGATATTGCAAGCAACTATTGCGATAAATATTGATAGTTTTCAGTGTATCATTTTAGATGGATTGTGGAGTTGAATTAAGCCTTGGAACTGAACTGATTTGTTTTTTCTTTACCCTAATAATTTAGAAGAAGAAACTTCCACATTACCATGTGTAAATAACCAACACTCACACAAGAGTTATCGCCCTTACATTACAAATGAACATGCTCTGTTCAAATAAGTTCGTTAAACTATATTTGATAGGTGTCCAGTTTCGAAGTTGTCTATTCATATAATTTTATTCGCCTTGGTAAGAAATTCGGCATCTCCCAGAGGAGATGTTAGCGGGGTACAGGGGGAAAAATTGCCCAATCAGTTATCTGTGTTAGCAGGGTTTGGCGTGATGTCCTCGATATATAATAGCTATCTATGTTACCAGGGTTTGGCATGATGGCCTCCAGTTATGATCATAGCTCTCTGTGTTATCGGGGTTTGGTGTGATGGCCTGAAGCTATAATAGCTATCTGTGATACCGGTGTTTGGCGTGATGGCCTCCAGCTATAATATGTATCTGTGATACCGGTGTTTGGCGTGATGGCCTCCAGCTATAATAGGTATCTGTGTTACTGGGGTTTGGCGTGATGGCCTCCAGCTCTAATAGGTATCTGTGTTACTGGGGTTTGGCGTGGTTGCCTCCAGCTATAATAGGTATCTGTGTTACTGGGGTTTGGCGTGATGGCCTCCAGCTATAATAGGTATCTGTGTTACTGGGGTTTGGCGTGATGGCCTCCAGCTATAATAGGTATCTGTGTTACTGGGGTTTGGCGTGATGGCCTTCAGCTATAATAGGTATCTGTGTTACTGGGGTTTGGCGTGATGGCCTCCAGCTATAATAGGTATCTGTGTTACTGGGGTTTGGCGTGATGGCCTCCAGCTATAATAGGTATCTGTGTTACTGGGGTTTGGCGTGATGGCCTCCAGCTATAATAGGTATCTGTGTTACTGGGGTTTGGCGTAATGGCCTCCAGCTATAATAGCTATCTGTGTTATCTGGGTTTGGCGTAATGGCCTCCAGCTATAATATGTATCTGTGTTACTGGGGTTTGATGTGATGGCCTCCAGCTATAATAGGTATCTGTGTTACTGGGGTTTGGCGTGATGGCCTCCAGCTATAATAGGTATCTGTGTTATTGGGGTTTGGCGTGATGGCCTCCAGCTATAATAGCTATCTGTGTTATCTGGGTTTGGCGTAATGGCCTCCAGTTATAATAGGTATCTGCGTTACTGGGGTTTGGCGTGATGGCCTCCTGCTATAATAGCTGTCTGTGATATCGGGGTTTCGTGATGGCCTCCAGCTATAGTAGCTGTCTATGTTATCGGGGTTTGGCGTGATGGCCTCCAGCTATAATAGCTATCTGTGATATCGGGGTTTCGTGATGGCCTCCAGCTACAGTAGCTGTCTATGTTATCGGGGTTTTGGCGTGATGGCCTCCAGCTATAATAGCTATCTGTGTTACTGGGGTTTGGCGTGATGGCCTCCAGCTATAATAGTTAACTGTGTTACTGGGGTTTGGCGTGATGGCCTCCAGCTACAATATCTATCTGTAATATCGGACTTTGGTGTGATGGCCACGAGATATTGTATTGCACGAGTGACTCTATGTCCACAGCTGATAATGGCAAAAGTAAAGGTGTTTGTGTCCTAGGCGTTGGTTTAGATTTTGTTTCAATAGCCAACGGGGTATACATGTATGTTTGCAAGCTTATCAGAGCATTAATAACACTTTAAGACTTCTCGTCAGTGCATGATCGACTCTTCGATGTGCAGTGTAACTTTCCAAATGTCAGCTTTGCAGTAGTAAGAGCTACTTACGTGGGGTTCGTAGTGCATCAGCGACTGCAGATCGTACGTGTCTGTGTTGAATAAGCTCTTGTAAGCGGGATCGCGTTTCTCAAAGTTGTTCTCCGCACCTGGAAATGAAGAATATCATCTTGCAGCTACTTTATATTTCTTATACTTTCAGCGCTGTCAAATACATACACCTTATCTCAACTTGTGTTTTATTGATTTTCATTTTACATATTTCAATGTTGTTTTTTCATCTCAGTTTTGTATGATGTATTACATTTTATCTCTTTAACTTTCCAAGGGACTGGCTATGTTTCAAATAACTCCGCTTATATCGGTAGCCAAAACATATTCTTCAATGAAACGGGGCGGTCGGGTAGTCTAGTGGTTAAAGCTTTCGCTCGTCATGTCGAAGACCCGGGTTCGATTCCCGACATGGGTACAATGTGTGAAGCCCATTTCTTGTGTCCCCCGCCGTGATGTTGCTGGAATATTGCTAACAGAGGCGTAAAACCATACTAACTCACTATTCAATGAAACATAAGGATCGAATGATCGGATAGTAAGGATCGAAAATGGCACTCACACTTTAAGTGTATGGCGTCAAAGAGTACCTACCCTTCTGTATATTTTGGGGGTTCTCCTCAACGTTACCATTTCTATTGTAGCTGATGTGTTCATGGAAGGCGCCCAACGCGTGGCATATTTCGTGGAGGGATGTCAGCTTAAACACATTAAACATTTACTTTAGTGCATATGGACCTCCGTGGTCTAGTGGTACAGCGTCAGTCCGGAGAGCGGAAGGTTCGGCGTTCGATCCCTGGCCGCGTCATACCAAAAGACGTGAAAATATAGTCCTTGTTGTTACCCTGTCTGGCTCTCGGCATAGGGGCTAAAACAAGTACTGGTCGGCTCGGAGTCAGTATACTGTGTCTGAGCGGGGTTTTCATGGTATCTCAGTGTGCTAGCACTATAAATCGGGATCAGTCCGGACTAGTACAAGCAGCCACACACACAACCACACACACACACACACACACACACGTGCATGCACGTCGCTATATAAGTGCAATAATCTTGGACGCGACGATAAACCCCATTTCACCTCACCTTATATGGTTCACTTGTGGTCAGCGAAAGTGGTACACCTTTAAGATCTGCATCACTTAGAATTTTTTAAACAAATTTATTGCATGGTAAACCGCAAAATACTTTCAAAAGCGGAGTTAAACTCTACTCACTCGTAGGCAACATTGAAAACGTATGTTTAAGTAGCCAATTAAGATAGCAGTTCAAATAATAACGCCGTCATTAAGCAAGTGACACACACTATCTTGTCTCCAGCTAGATATCCGACATTTAATGTCACTCAAAAATCATATCAAATTTGAAGAATCTATCTTCTAAATACTCCAGGAAGTAAGGCGAAAAGTCAATAATTATATCGACCCGTGAAGATTCCGGGGTAGAATAGGTCTTCAGCAACCCATGCTTGCCGTAAAAGGTGACTATGCTTGTCGTAAAAGGCGACTAACGGGATCGGGTGGTCAGGCTCGCTGTCGTCGATCCCAATTGCGTGGATCGATGCTCATGACATTAATCACTGGATTGTCTGGTCCGGACTCGATTATTTACAGACCGCCGTCATATAGCTGGAATATTGCTGAGTGCGGCGTTAAACAACAAACAAACGAACCAACCAATAATCATATCAGTGGTATTCAACTTCAACTTTCGTCCCATTTCTGGTGTCCCCCGCCGTGATATTGCTGGAATATTGCTAAAAGCGGCGTAAAACCTTACTCACTCACTCAACTTTCGTCCGAGGTAGCGAGTTTTGGACCTGAATAGGTTCATTTTCGTCTTTCGCATGAAAGTGGCCGGACCTTGTTCAGTCACAACCGGCATGTTTGCACTGGAGCATTATTAAGTATGTTTTGTCAAAAAATATTTGTATAAAATAATGTATCATCCAAAACTGGCTCCCACAGGAGATATTGCTTGGGTGAGATCAAGCGATATCTACACTGTAGATATCGCTGCAATGAAATTGCATCACAATGCTTTACAGACCATTGTGATGTCATTGGTTACCATGACGTCACAATCAAATGACATCATCAATGGCTCTGCTACTGAAGCTGTTAGCAGTCCTTTTTACACTTAAGACACTGCTTGTTACTTTCTACAAACTGAAAAAGTTGGAAGAATGATGTTGGATGATAAATAAAATCTCACCCTCGTGTCTTTTGATATCAAATATATCAACACTCGTTGATAAAAGTGGAAAAAAATCCTCGGCAAGCCTCGGAGTTTTCCCACTTTTATCAACTCGTGTTGATGTATTTGATATCAAAAGACACTCGGGTGACATTCTCTATATAATTCGAAGATCGTCGTTACATTTTGAATTATCCGATGCAATATTGTTTTGACAATTCAATCATCTGAAATTTCTTTTCACCCCAAAGAGTCACGAAAACAGTTGATCGGTACTCGTAGCAGTGTGGCTTGTTTGCAATGGTGCCAGTTTCAATGGCACGTATGTTTTAGGACATTAAATGGTAAGGAATGTGCATATGAACATGCCAAGCATGAACTTTTATTCCGAAAACTGAAAACCACTTGCACGACCAGTTGCATCGTCAAAATCGGCGTCGTTTTGCACGTCATGAGAGAGACAAGTGTAGTTATCCTGGGTTGTGTGTGATCCGACAGTCTCACACTCCGACTCCGATACACCTAATTTGCAACGAATTACCGAAATCACTCATTAATCCGACACATTGATCAGCGTACTCCGTGCCGATCAGCCCGCGAGTCCACAGCCCCATGTTTTGATGCGAGACGAATCGGCTGGTAGCTGCATATTAAAACGGCTGCAGAGATAAACTTGCTTAATAATTAACATTTCATGAACAATAAGTGTTTGTATCGTTATCTATCGTGTAGTTGTCCGATTTTCGACCACGAACGTTGATACTACTTAATAACGTTAATCCGACATAATCATATGCAACCAACCATTTCGGATTAACGGGACTTGACTGTACATTCCGGCGATGTCTATATCAATAACACATATATATATAGTTTGTAATCGAACGTATGGAAAACGAGGAATAAAACAATAATGTTTGTGCTTCATTTCAAAGCTAAGCTGAAGAATAAATAGACTTCGATCAAACACAGAGTGTGTTTTGGTGTCATTACATTAAACTTGTAATTGCAGTAGGAATAATGATCGTGCGGCCGGGTATAGATTAACGAATGAATGAAATGTAGTGCCGTCTAACTTTTCAGCCTGTCAAAATATTTAACAAGCTTTTGAGCCAATCACATTGCTATAGAGTTAAATTTTCTCACCGAGAAATTACCGAAAATTTAACTATCCCCATCTCTCTACACCTGGGTAATAATTTCCAGTAATTCTCACTGAGCATATTTATTTATGCTTCATATCGATTGGCTAGTTCCAATTGGACCATTGTTTGTATTGGTTGCGAAGAAACCCTTTGCAACGTGATGTCATATGTACGCATTGTCGCAAAGAATTGAAGATGATATCCATTATTCATGACGTCACAACGAGTTTATGTGACGTCGTTCTCGCAATCCCGTCAGGGTAATATAAAGAATAACCAACTCAGAACAAGGAATTAAGGAGAACCTAGAATCAAATGTTGAAAGTTCCGGTTATTGTTACAAAATCAATTCACTCGGGGCAGATAATCCGTACCACATGCGAACTAATAGGCTATTCAATACTTATAGACTTACGGGGGCACGGGTGGCCCAGCCGTCTAAGGTGCCGTGATTCGCTGTGCAGAGTTGCGTCCCCTGGACACGCAAGAAACCTATCATTGTGGGTTCGAATCCCGGTTCATCCCGATTATGTTTCTAGGTTTGTCAGCACCATACCCGTGCTCGTGGGTTTCACCGAAGTGGTAAAGGTCTGAGACCTGCATCACTACGGGCTTTCCTCCCACATTAAGCTGCTACGCCGTGATATAACTGGAATACTGTTAAAAGCGGCGTTAAACCCAACTCACTCACTCACACTCACTTATAGACTTACAAGTATACTGCATGCACTGATGTCCTGAACGCCGCTCGGTTTCTTTCCAACACGTGACCAGCACCTGGAATTATACATGACCGTGTTTATTTGACATCTGGCTGACAAAGGTATCTGTAGCCAAACATAACTCAAAATCTAGAAAATTTAGAATGTAGGCTGCATTGGTTTAATTGAGCTGAAGATGACCTCATTTTCCATAGTTCTGCTTCTAGGCCTCTGCGTATTTGGATTGCTGCCATTTAGAACAGTTAAGTTTGGTCGACATATTTCCGAAATGTTACCTTGTTTCATTTTCTCTCTGTCTGGGATATCTGAGTGCATGGCAAATGTCGGAACGTTATGATACGTCACGTAGACGTGACACAATGTGACACTTGCTGGATAACCTCTTTGTCTAACGTGCATATCGGAGGCGATTCCACAATATGATAGTCAATACTTCATTGCTGTTGTTGTTTAACGCCACACTCAGCAATATTCCAGCTATATGACGGTGGTCTGTAAATAATCGAGTCTGGACCAGACAATACAGTGATTTACATAATGAGCATCGATTCACGCAATTGGGATACGATGACATGCATCAACTAAGTCAGCGAGCCTGAGCACCCGATCCCGTTAGTTGCCTCTTACGACAAGCATAGACGCCTTTTACAGCAAGGATAGGTTGCTGAAGACCTATTCACCTACTGGGTTAAAAAACCCACATACAATGTACATGCATGGATGATGTCTTGATTAGTATGGAGATCCCAACATATGATAGCCAGTACTTCACTGTGACTTTGTGACATGTGTAGATCGGAGGAGATTTCAACGTAAAGGAAATTACCCCTGGGATCCTTGCTGGATGAAGTTTAGAGTGGTGGTATGAGAAAGTCCCAGTTTTCTGTTGAAATCAGGAGAACCGTCACTCAAGACGAACCGAAGACAGGTATACTTATGAAGAATGTCCATAGCTCCTGTTGCAGACTTTTGCTCCTTGGCCGCTGAAACATTATTATTCTTGTATAATAGTGTTGTTATTTTTTAACTCCAGTTTAACGGGTATCACCACCCCTAGCGTACAATACATGCCCCTTTGTGCAGGTCCTATATCCAATTAAGGGTGGTGAAGTCCAGTGTAAGACCCGCACAGGGGTGGACAACTCCAGTATGTGACTTGCACACAGAGGTATGTATTGCCCACTAGGGGCGTATAACTCCAGTAAAGGACCTGCATACAGAGGTCTGTATTGCACACTAGGGGTGGATAACTCGAGTAAAGGACCTGCATACAGAGGTCTTTATTGCACACTAGGGGTGGATAACTCCAGTATGTGACCTGCACACAGAGGTATGTATTGCGCACTAGGGGTGGATAACTCCAGTAAAGGACCTGCATACAGAGATCTGTATTGCGCACTAGGAGTGGATAACTCCAGTAAAGGACCTGCATACAGAGGTCTGTATTGAACACTAGGGGTGAATAACTCTAGTAAAGGACCTGCATACAGAGGTCTGTATTGCACACTAGGGGTGGATAACTCCAGTATGTGACCTGCACACAGAGGTATGTATTGCGCACTAGGGGTGGATAACTCCAGTAAAGGACCTGCATACAGAGGTCTGTATTGCGCAATAGGGGTGGATAACTCGAGTAAAGGACCTGCATACAGAGGTCTGTTTTGCGCAATAGGGGTGGATTAATCCAGTATGTGACTTGCACACAGAAGTATGTATTGCGCACTTGGGGTGAATAACTCCAGTAAAGGACCTGCATACAGAGGTCTGTATTGCGCACTAGGGGTGGATAACTCCAGTAAAGGACCTGCATACAGAGGTCTGTATTGCGAACTAGGGGTGGATAACTCTAGTAAAGGACCTGCATACAGAGGTCTGTATTGCGCATTAGCGGTGGATAACTCCAGTAAAGGACCTGCATACAGAGGTCTGTATTGCACACTAGGGGTGAATAACTCCAGTAAAGGACCTGCATACAGAGGTATGTATTGCGCATTAGGAGAGGATAACTCGAGTAAAGGACCTGCATACAGAGGTCTGTATTGCACACTAGGGGTGGATAACTCCAGTAAAGGACCTGCATACAGAGGTCTGTATTGCGTACTAGGGGTGGATAACTCTAGTAAAGGACCTGCATACAGAGGTCTGTATTGCACACTATTGGTTGATAACTCTAGTAAAAGACCTGCATACAGAGGTCTGTATTGCGCACTAGGGGTGGATTAACTCCAGAAAAGGACTTGCATACAGAGGTCTGTATTGCACACTAGGGGCGGATAACTCCAGTAAAGGACCTGCATACAGAGGTCTGTATTGCGCACTAGGGGTGGATAACTCCAGTAAAGGTCCTGCATACAGAGGTCTGTATTGCACACTAGGGGTGGATAACTCGAGTAAAGGACCTGCATACAGAGATCTGTATTGCACACTAGGGGTGGATAACTCCAGTAAAGGACCTGCATACAGAGGTCTGTATTGCGCACTAGGGGTGGATAACTCCAGTAAATGATCTGCATACAGAGGTCTGTCTTGCGCACTAGGGATGGATAACTCCAGTAAAGGACTTGCACACAGAGGTATGTTTTGCACACTAGGGGTGGATAACTCTAGTAAAGGACCTGCACACAAAGGTATGTATAAGACAAACGGCACTACTATCTGGATAACTGAGGTCAGGTAGGTTAAGTGAATGAACAAGGACAATACTGTCTGGATAAATGAGGTCATTACGACTAAGGTTTACTCAGACTAGGACAGTGCTGCATGGATAACATGTCAATCAGGCTAAGGGCACTTTCAGACACGGACGATCCTGTATGGAAAACCAATGTCAGGCAGGTTAAGTGATCAAAATAAGGACTGTGATGTCGAGATAATTGATGTCATTAGGGTAAGTGAACAGTCAAGGGCAATATTGTCTGTATGGCCGAGGTCAGGCAGATTAAGTGCGCAGACAAGGACACCAATGCTGTCTGGATAACTGATGTCATTAAGGCGAAGTGCAACGACAAGGAGAATACTCTCTGGATAACTGACGTCATTAAGGCGAAGTGCACAGACAAGGAGAATACTCTCTGGATAACTGATGTCATTAATGCTAAGTGCACAGACAAGGAGAATACTCTCTGGATAACTGATGTCATTAGAGTAAGTGCACAGACAAGGAGAATACTCTCTGGATAACTGATTTCATTAAGGCGAAGTGCACAGACAAGAAGAATACTCTCTGGATAACTGATGTCATTAAGGCGAAGTGCACAGACAAGGAGAATACTCTCTGGATAACTGATGTCATTAAGGCGAAGTGCACAGACAAGGGGAATACTCTCTGGATAACTGATGTCATTAAGGCGAAGTGCACAGACAAGGAGAATACTTTCTGGATGACTGATTTCATTAAGGCTAAGTGCACAGACAAGGAGAATACTCTCTGGATAACTGATATCATTAAGGCGAAGTGCACAGACAAGAAGAATACTCTCTGGATAACTGATTTCATTAAGGCGAGTGCACAAACAAGGAGAATACTCTCTGGATAACTGATGTCATTATGGCGAAGTGCACAGACAAGGAGAATACTTTCTGGATAACTGATTTCATTAAGGCTAAGTGCACAGACAAGGAGAATACTCTCTGGATAACTGATGTCATTAAGGATAAGTGCACAGACAAGAAGAATACTCTCTGGATAACTGATGTCATTAAGGCGAAGTGCACAGACAAGGAGAATACTCTCTGGATAACTGATGTCATTCAGGATAAGTGCACAGACAAGGAGAATACTCTCTGGATAACTGATGTCATTCAGGATAAGTGCACAGACAAGAAGAATACTCTCTGTATAACTGATGTCATTAAGGCGAAGTGCACAGACAAGGAGAATACTCTCTGGATAACTGATGTCATTAAGGCGAAGTGCACAGACAAGGGGAATATTTTCTGGATAACTGATTTCATTAAGGCGAAGTGCACAGACAAGGAGAATACTTTCTGGATAACTGATTTTAATAATGCTAAGTGCACATATTAATCGTTTTTTTATGCATACCAACCTTCTCCCATTTGTGGCCAATATCATTAAGCAGCCTCATGTCCTTAAAGGGCAAGTTCACACGGAAATTAACCTTTTTTTCTTGTACTTTTTCCACATTAAAAGTGTTAACCTAGAAGTGTCATAGACAAAAATATAAAAATATCACAATTAATTAACATATTTTTCGCATTAAAACGATTTATATTTTTCACATTTACCAAGTGTTCTATTTCCACAACAAAAACACCATGGCTTATGCCCCTTGCAATATGACGTCATTGGTGCCAATTGATAAACATTATGACGTCATCATGCTTTGTTAGAGCCGCTTCACGTGGTGTAGGTCTAGGTGTGTGATTCTAGCGTCTCAGATGCCAGCCAGCATAGTGTTATGCTGAGTCACCACTGCGCCGGAGTGTGTCGTAGGCCATGTTGTTTTACCGCAAACTGGTACTTGATATCTTTTGCGTTGAGAATAGACAGGGACCAGTTGAATTGGCACCAATTACGTCATAATCTAAGGGGGATAACTCAGGCCTGTTTAGCTCGAAAAACGAAGGCCTCATAACGGCATATCATTTTCACACTATTGTGAGCTTCCTACTTTCACTGTGAAAAAAATGAGTGTATATTTTCAAACACAGATACTAATTAATTCTAAAATTGCGTTTTGTATAGAAAAAGAAAGAAAGTGATTTTTGCGTGTACACTTCCCCTTTAACGTCTGATATTCAAAAGGAGTCCGTGTAGTATATTCAAGTAAGTTACATTTTCCCCCGTTTAATTAACCACGCATTAAAGTTTAATTGCTAATATATTTTTTAATTTGAAGTTTACACGATATACGGCCTTTCAATTGGACGAGAGGTCGGTCACCTGATCGCGAAATTGACGTTCATAAGTGTATGAATGACACAATTTGACGAGACCGTGTTCTTGAAACGACGTAAACACTGACGGACTACTTCCACGTTCCTTGGGAAACCCCTAGGAATTCCTCACCACGAATACATACAGAAGCGGTCTTTCTGATCATTTAGACCCTTTAATCTTGAACTCAGCGTTTTAGTATTATACACTGATAAATGTTAGATTATTTGACTGCACGATCGTTCACAAATATCCTCGCTACGACCCGTCCTAGTGAACAAAACGAAGAAATGCATATCCAAACTATGGTAGTATCGACTCGATCTGTGTCCAGGCTGACAGTGACAGTCGACAGCAATCTAAGTTAGTGTCTATTTGACACATCTTTAATCACCTTTCAATGATCGTCCAATTGATCAATGATGACTAAAACATGTAACCGCCATAGGTTCATCAAATCTCTCCCGTCACGTTTAACGTGTCGGCCATTTTGACGTCGTGTACTTGACATGACTTGATTTTGACTGACTTACTGAGGTAAAGCTTAACAGACTTTTCCCATCTAATGGTGATATTATTTGAATACATGTTTTGCGTAAGCTGTTTCTGAAGGGCAAGTTGTGCATCCATTCGCCCATGTCATCTTTTGGAGGAACTATTTTATTCCGCGATATAGCTGGTTGTTGTACGGCTCTCAGTGTAAACATGAAATCACACGTACTAAATATAATTGTGTATAGATCTTGGTCTACATCTTTGAGGTAAGAAATTGTGATAAAAAATACAAGAAGTGACTTTCACTTTGTTTGAGTTCATTGGAGTATGAACCTTCATAGAGTGAGGGCCAAACATTGTATGAACTTCCAATGAACTCACACAAAGTGAAAGTCAATTCTAAAGTAATATCATAATTATGCATTTCTGAGGCATCAGATGGAGGGGAACTTTGATGCTCTGCATCAACGATATCAAAATACATACTGCTGTTGCCCCATGTATATGGCACAATCCCTTTTTCCCACAGCATCCATGTCCCGTAGAATCTCTTGCGACGAATGTTGCCGTGGGGAACTTCAAGGCTTGCTGAGCGTTTGTCCCGCTTGGTGCTGCTGTCTGAATCACGTTCATTCGTCCGTTTATGGCTGGCACGCTCTTTCTTTCTGACGTTATACGTTGCCAGGAACTCGTCCAATTCCTTTGAAAGATGTTACGATGGTGTTAGTATTTATTAATTTTTTTTTATTGAATTTTTACAACTTTCTTTATTCGTGTCAATGAGTATTGAGGGCATGTATTGTTCATGTGAGATCTCATCTTGTACGATGACAAATTTATAAGTAAGGAAGACACATTGCTGGAATAATGCTAAAAGCGGCGTAAAACCATACGCACTCACTCACTACATCTCTTTAAAAAAACAATCAGTTTGGTCAAAGTCATACGGAACATTTAGTGTTGTTATGAATACCCAAACTAGTTTTCATTCGTGAACATAATAATTATTTATTGTTTTGGTTTTTTTAAAATGCGGATATTATATCTTGTCCTTAACATTGACCGCTATCTTCGGATATATAGAAATCTGATATAGCGATTGGTCGGACACTATCTAATCTCGAATTAGTGGGAATAAACGTCCATGCTTGCGTAAATAGCAAACTTCGTATTGAAAGAACTGATTCTTAGGTTCCTGAGTTCGTTATAAGCAATGTTGACTGACAAGGTTTCCGGGCTACGGTATTTTGGGGTCGTTTTTACTGTGGAATGGCTTCGATATATCCAAATTTTGTGAACGCTGCAATCGACTAAACAATGCTATCTCAGATTAATAAATGTAATGTTCAAATGATTAACTCGCTGATTACCCAATCATGTATACAGTAAACTACGTTTATAACGAACACGCTTATTACGAACTGACCGATATAACGAACTTAATTTAGGTCCTGGTAATTTGTTGTATATACGCTGTAAATATGCTTATAACGAACTATTGTTATTACGAACTAAAAATAGTGGTCCCTTTGTGTTAGTTGTAGGGAAGTTACAAGGCTATCTACATACCTCCTTCTGGATTTTAGCTTCAACGTCACCATGGCCTTTGTGAAGATCGTCTATCTACAAAAAAAGACAAAGTTCAATATTTTGTTGTTTGTCTTCAAAGTTTTCCTTTAAAGAGAGGGGGCGGTCGGGTAGCCTGGTGGTTAAAGCGTTCGCTCGTCACGCCGAAGACCCGGGTTCGATTCCCGACATGGGTACACTGTGTGAAGCCCATTTCTGGTGTCCCCAGCCGTGATATTGCTGGAATATTGCTAAAAGCGGCGTAAAACCATACTCACTCACTCACTCACTCACTCCTTTAAAGAGTATGATGGTCACAGGTCAATGAATGACCTTAAATGTCAATACGTGTTGAAACGTATGCATTGATTGTCACGTGTCACGCCACCATGGCCTTTGTGAAGATCGTCTATCTACAAAAAAAGACAAAATTCAATATTTTGTTGTTTGTCTTGTTCCGTATATTATAGCCGTGCAGTTTGCTTTTCATGCCCATGTGTTTGTTTGTTTAACGCCGCACTCAGAAATATTCACGCCATGTGACGGCGGTCTGTAAATAATCGAGTCTGGACCAGACAATCCAGTGATTGACATCATGAGCATCGATCCACGTATTTTGGATACGATGACATGCACCAACCAAGTCAGCGAGGTTGACCACCCGATCCCGTTAGTCGCATCTTACGACAAGCATGGTCGCCTTTTACAGCAAGCAGGGGTTGCTGAAGACCTATTCTACCCCGGATCTTCAGGGGTCTCGTGCCCTAATGAATTTATATATATATAAGTACATTCTTTTGGTATGATGAGGCCGGGAATCGAAATCCAACCTTCCAGTCTTCGGGTCGACGCTTTACCACTAGACCACGGAGGCGGTCATACCAAAATAACGACTTGATATATGGCTTTATACCAACGGAATATAGAAATGATGAACAGTGAACATTTCAAACAATTTTGTATATTAATTGTTGCACTAACTGGAACAATTAATCGATAAATACTCTCACGCATCTATATAGACTGCAGGACAACAGCTAGTACACCGAGTTTGTTTTTTATGTACCGTATTCGACGTAATAAGCGCCAAGGGCGCTCTCAAAGTTAGAATATTATTATTCGAATATCATTTTGGTGAAAAAAAAACAGAGTTGAAAGATCGTTAATCTCGTGGTTTATGCTGACAGCATGAGATGTTTACATACGACAGATATATTATTCCAGAATTTAACTGCCCATAATTAAGGGTGCATATAATATAACACACGAGTGCGTATCACACACGAACAAATAAGTCTTGTGTACATTGATCAATCGGATGGGGTGCTAATTGGGATTGTTCACAAGCCAATACATTGGCAAATATCGCGATGGGCGCTTATTACGTCGAATACGGTAATTGAAAATTGAAAGAACTGTTTGGTTTGGTTATGTCTATTTAACCAACTCTCATTCTTGCAACAGTTTGTTGAGTAAAATACATTGGTTCAAAGAAGAGAATGAAGAAAATGAATTTGCAATCACATGACTCCTACCATTTTAGCAATGTTTTTTTGTGAGCACCAAACTTTGTTTAAAGGCTTTTATCGATGTAAACCTTAATTAAGATCGATATTATAGTCCCTATATTAATCAGTCCTACAACTACTAATAGGAAATAATAGACGCCGCTATTTTGCAGCCTGGCTTTTCAAAGTTTTCCTTTAAAGAGCATGGCGGTCACGGGGAAATGAATGACCTTAAATGCCAATACGTGTTAAAATGTATGCATTGATTGTGCTACAGCCAACGAAAGACTCTATCAGAGATGTATGCTTTACAAACACCGCGTGTTGTCCGTCAATAGTCGTATACAGACAAGCAGCACGATGACTGAATGGTGTTATAACATGAACAGCTTGCAATGAGGACAGCGATGAGAGCCTATTGAACGCGCATGTATGTGTACATTGGTGACACTTTCTGTCAGCGAAAGGTCAGAATCCATTGTTTCTCTCGTCTAGACACAAACGTCGGAAACAGGACTTGGAGGCGTTATACTGTATGACATATTTCTCACTCATTGACAATGTGTGGAATGGTAAAGGTAGAAACGCGTTCTTGTACATGTGTTATAGAGTTGCATCCTTAAAATGAATGAGTGGGCGAGTTGGGTTTTACGCCGCTTTTAAAAGTATTCCAGTCATATCGCGGCGTGTCAGGTTAAAGTGGGAGGAAATCCCGAAGTGATGCAGGTTTCAGACGTTTACCACTGCGGTGAAACCCACGAGCACGGGTATGATGCTGACAAACCTAGAAACATAATCGGGGCGAACCGGAATTCGAACCCACAATCATTGGTTTCTGGCGTGCCCAAGGGACGCAACTGCACAGCGAATCGCGGCGCCTTAGACGACTGGGCCACCCGTGCCCCCGCGTCCCAAAAGCATGTAAAAAAGCGATGATCGCGGGTCGAATCGCAGATTTGCATTGGTTATATTTCTAGGTTTGTCAGCACCATGCCAGTATTTGTGGGTTTTACCAAAGTGGTAAACGTCTGAGACCTGCATCACTTTGGGCTTTCCTTCACATTAAGCTTACACGCCGTGATATAACTAGAATACTGTTCAAAGCGGCGTTAAAACCCAGCTCACTGACTTACTATTATTAACGATGCTTCTTTAACTTCCTACCTGTGCTACTGGGTTTCATGAGATAGAAGGGGGCACGGGTGGCCCAGTTGTCTGAGGCGCCGCGATTCGCTGTGCAGAGTTGCGTCCCTTTTGGCACGCCAGAAACCTATGATTGTGGGTTCGAATCCCGGTTCGCCCCGATTATGTTTTTAGGTTTGTCAGCACCATATCCGTGCTCGTCGGTTTCACCAAAGTGGTAAACGTCTGAGACCTGCATCTTCGGGCTTTCCTCCCACATTAAGCTGCGCCCCGCGATATAACTGGAATACTGTTAAAAGTGGCGTTAAAACCCAACTCAATCACTATTAGTTAGGCAGTTTTGGATATTAATAATGTTTAATGTACGAGTAGCGGAGACACAATAGTAGTCAATTGTTTTGTTCTTTTTATGTTCAGACATCCATGTATTTCAGGTTTCTTGCTAATGTTTAACGTTGAACAGATCTCATAAACACACCTTTGGCAATGTTTCTGGTAGTGAAGCGTATCTCATGAACACAACCAGCACGCTTTTCACAAGGTTTTTTGACGGGTTCATTTGATTGGGTGGCAGAGTTAAAATATAGTTTGATACTGTGACCACTTGATCACTCTGCTTTACTCTCCATCTGAGTACATCCATTTGTCAGAGTCTTCAGAGACGTTTCTGCTGTGGTCACATGTTGAGTTTTAAATAATTTATTACATTTGAATTGGGTACTTGACAGTGGTATGTTTAAGGTTTGAAGTTTATTCATTCCTTTGTTTGGTAATGTGCATTACATATATTTTAAAGCTATGTTTATGAAGTGATGTAAAGTTTGGGAATTAAATGTAGAAGGTTTTACTTGTGTAAATCGTATTTGTATTTACTTACTGGTATTTAAGTATAGCTTATATTGTTGGTTGGTCTAGTCAAGCTTATATGTTTATATGAGTAAAGTGTATAATTTTACTTGTTCAAGTCGTGTCACTGTGATATCTCGATGGCAACAAAGCATATAATATGCTCATCCGTAAAAGAAACGCAAGTCAATGTTTTGTTTATGAAATGCACAAAAAAGTAATTTGTGGAAGGAAATGTTTACAAACGTAAAGAGAAACATTAAAAAAACACTGTTCACTATTTACCTCATTCATTTTGAACACGCCGTTGGAACACAGTCGTTTCGTCTCCGTTGACGTTTTGTGCACGTGCAGCGGAAATCACGTGCTAAAATGTTGCATTTACCCCCTTGTCCATCCTTTATAAGCCATCATCGAAAAAAAAACCACCAAGCATTTCACACTCGACTTTGAAAAAGGACAGGCAACATGGTTCGATTAACTGAACACCAGAGAGGAGTTGCCATTGGGATGCTACAGGCCGGATCAATGTCAACTGCAGTGGTGCGGCACTTTGTATGTCATGTGCCTTCCATCACCTAGGGACCGTCTCCGTGGTCTAGTGGTAGAGCGTCCGCCCGGAGAGCGGAAGGTCCGGGGTTCGATCCCTGGCCGCGTCATACCAAAAGACGTTAAAAGATAGTACTTGTTGTTACCCTGTCTGGCGCTCGGCATTAATGGGCTAAAACAAGGACTGGTCGGCTCGGAGTCAGTATACTGTGTCTGAGTGGGATATTCATGTTAAACTGCGGCATGGTATCTCAGTGAGCTAGCACTATAAATCGGCATCAGTCCGGACTAGTACAAGCAGCCACACAAACACACACGTACATGCACGTCGCTATATAAGTGCAATAATCTTGGACGCGACGTTAAACCCAATTTCACCTCACCTCCATCACCTAGGCATCACCAGACAGGCAGTGTCCAAGACCGGCCTCGTTCTGGGCGGCCGAGGGTCACTACTCCAGGGCAGGACCGTTACATCCGGGTGACACATCTGCGTGACCGACAGCGACAATCAGCTGCAACTATTCAAAGTTGACGTCAGCCGACACATTCAGCTGCAACCGTTCAAAGTTGACGTCATCCGGTGTCAGCCGACACAGTTCGTCGTCGTCTAAGACCGGCGGGAATCACATGTCGTCGTCCTTGCACCTGTGTCGTCGTCCTAGCACCTGTGTTTGAGACGTGACCAGTGGCAACAAGTTGTCTTCTCGGACGAATCAAGATTCAACCTTTCGCACGCCGAAGGCCGCATCAGAGTATGGAGACGACGAAATGAGCGTTACGCTAACTGCTGTGTCTTACAGGCCGACCGGTGGGGAGGAGGGAGCCTCATGGTTTTGGGAGATTTTTTGTATCGTCACAGGACCCCTCCATACGTGTCCCGTCAGGGATGATGTTCTTCGTAATCACGTCAGACCTCTCTTCTTGGGTCAACCTCAACTCCAGGTCTTTCAGCAGGACAACGCTCGTCCCCAAAACAGCACGGGTCTCTATGGATTCCTCAGAGAGAAT